GTCAAAGTGCATGACAATGCACAACAGAGCCAGTCTCCTGACCTTACAATATACAGGACACTTTGGTTCTTGGGATCAGAGATTATAAATGTAGCTTAGATGCCGCCTTACACACTTTGCATAATAAAACATTTATATGCTGTCATGAAGAGGGTGTAAAGTCTAAGTCACACTGCAGACTGGCTGTTCTCAGCTTCTCCATTCGGGCAGGTGTGAGAGACAAGTTGTAGATATGCCACCAGTGAAAGCATATAAATGTATCTGGTGCAAACGTTTTACGAGAGTATTTATAAATGATTCAACAAGGGAGAGCAAGAAAGAGAGTGAGAGCTAAAGTGCAATTTTAAAATAATATAAATAATTGAAATGTAGAAATAAGATACTAATTAGTTGTAACTGGTTTTGTTTTATAGGCACAGTTTAGTTTTTATGTCTACAGATCAATCTTTTTCTCTTCTTCCCCCTCCAATAATTTTCTCTGATGTATAATGGAGTTTCAATGGTCTAAATCTAAGGAACACTGCTTAGTAAGAGGACAGAAGAGGCAATGATAAGGCAGTATAGTGCAACTCACTATGTGATATTAGAAAAGAAACAAGGATGGGGTTAGATCTTCCATGGTGATGTATAAAATCAGCCTTGAAAAAAAAAAAAAAAAAAAAAGAAGAAAAACCAAAGACAGGCTTTCCAGTTATATGTTGACCCATGCTTTCCAAAATGAGAGAACACATTTTCCAATACAAAAGAAAGCACTGAAGGTTCATAATTTGTTTTGTTGTTACAAAAAAAAAAAAAAAAAGGCAAAAAAAAAAAAGCAGATGCTGCTTTAAGGAAAACTTTTAATTCTAGGAATTTCTGTACAACTGACCTCAGCAAGCTTTTCCATCTTAGATGGATGACTTCTGCTTGAGACCCTGAAAGATAAAGATGCACACACACCTAGAGTAGTTTATTGCAAAACTAATCTTGTAACTTAAAAAAACCAAACAGATTCTATACAAGAATACTGTTCAAATGGAATGTGTTAAAATAACATTTATTAATAAATACTTTATAAAATTCTATGTGAATACTAAATTAATAGATTCCTGTTTTAAAATTGCTTTGGTCCTCATGAATTTTCATAAATTCACTCTATACGCTTTTTTTTTAAAAAAGGTATTAGCTGCTAAAAAGCACATTTTGCCTAAACTAAAAGGCTAGTTTTCAACGCTAAATATTGTTGCTTAAAAAAATATGAATCCTCAAAAGTTGGGCATTTAACAACAGTTATAGCTGGCTTGTTAGTTAACAGGACAGAGTCAGTTAACACACTTAAATCCACACGCACTGAGGCACTGAACCATTGACTTTCCACTATTCAGAAGATGGGCAGCAGACATTTAGCTTCATAGCAGGAATTAACTCCCAACAGCATTAAATTCTCCATAAACCATCATCATCATCATCATCGTCATCGTCTTTATAAAACACACCATGATAGCACACAAACTACTTGTCTCCCACAGGCAGCGTTATGAATATGGCTTGCATTAAATTGACTCGGGGAAGGGGGACCAGGGATGAAGGAACACAGCATCGTTTCTTTCCCATCAAAGTATTGCAATTGTCCATTGCTGAGATTTCCAACGTGCTTCCGATGTCGCATGATGAGAGATGCCATCCACAGAAAAAATTCCTCCTGAACGAGGTTACGGCCAAGGCTTGCCGGCCTGCTGGTGCCCAGCAGAGCAGGCGAGGTAAGTGGTCCCAGTCATCCGCTGGCAGCGGGACGGGCCATGGAACCTGGCAAGCCCAGCAACGGGCTGGATTGGCAGGGCAGGAGGAAAGTGGAGTAGGTACCAGTAGTAGCTCGCGGAAAACCAGGATTTCTCCTTGACGGAAAGAGGCTGGGAAGTGCATTTAGAGTGACGTGCTTAGGAAGAGGCTGCTGACACCGACTGGGCAGCCAAGGGACATCGCAGAGACAGAGGGGCAGGGGCTTCTCCTGCAGCCCTTGCTCAGGCAGCCTCCAGTGCCCAGCTGGACCAACAGCTTGAGGAAAGGCTGCAGGATCACTCCCCTGGAAAACAAGAGCATTTTAATGTGGAAGCGAATCTGATGAATAATATAAGGTGCCTGGTATGGTTGGTCCTTTTACCGATGATATAGCTGATATAAATATGCTGCATGTTGTCTTGGCCTGTGAACCTGTGACAGAGTTACAAGAAGCAATAGTAAATAGCTTTTCATCCTTTACTTATTTCCACATCACTAGCAAGGATTATACCTAAAGGCCAATAGTATAGAGAGGAGACATTTCATTGTAATTACACATTTACGCCAACATGTGTGGTTGGCTTGCCTAGTTAGCATTAAAAAAAGAAATAATTGAGCTATATATAATACACATCAGTCAAACTGTCAAGTTCCTGAATTTAACAAAACTTAGGCAAGTTTTTTTCTTTTTTCTTTTTTTTTTCTTTTTAATGTAGAGGCTTTCAGTTTTAACAGCTAAATATTTTAATTGAGGAGACTGAATAAAATGAAGCTAAACTGTAATTACAGTGCAGTGTAGCTCAAGTAGGTATTCTAAGATTACCAACAACTTCGATTTTTATTTTTTTATGTATTTAAGTGCTATCCATATAGAGGATTTTTTTTTTTTAAATTAACCCTGCAATGGCATTTTCTTTTTCATGGTGAATGATAAAATTCACACACAGGGGAAATGCTTATTTGTGGTTTTTTTACGTAGTGGATACTCAGCTGGAACATTTTGCTCGACTGCATATTTGAAAAAAGTTTCCTTGGGAGCCATGATGAAGCAAAACCATTTAGCTATTACAACTGGAGGTTAAAAAAAATTATAGATTCAGTATTTAAAACACTTTAAAAGTATATGTCTGTCTAAAATATAATAGAAAATCCTTTACATTTGTATTTTTTCATAACTTTTTTTTTGGTTCTTAGACTATATAATCAAGTCAAGATTTACACTGTACATTAAAAATCTTCTTTTGAATGTATTTGCATAAATGGAAAGCGAGCTGTTAAAGAATACTGATAAAAAGTTAGTTACCAAGATAAGAACTAATTCGGAAAAGAATGATCCCCAGAATTTTGCTTTCCCTTCCAGGCGGGCCCTGCTCCTTACAGTGCCTCATGCTTCAGTTGTTGCACTCTCCCTCGTGCACGGAGAAGAGCCACCCTTTTAAAACCCACCACTCCTCTGAAAACCAGACACACAGCTTTTGAGGAAGAGAACTTTGCTTCAGAACAAAGTCTGTTCAGGGCTAGAGGATTTGCCAGGAATAACGTGGATTAGCTTTTGCTATTAAAGATGCAGCTCAAAATGTTTGAACATTTATCACCAGCTTGGAGCCCACTCCTCAGGTAAGCCGTGGGAGGTTTTGCCACTGACAGATTTGAGAGCAAAATCAGGTCCCAATATAGGGCAAGGAAGCATAATTAACTGGCATCATCTCTGGCTGATTTTCCCATCAATCACTGGTACCACTTGGGGATGCAAATCAGTTGCGCTGAGGGGCAGGCCCAGAGTCCAAACAAAAACCTTAATTGTGGCATAAGGCTCTTTTCCAGACCCTCTTTGCAAGCTGAATTTTATCCTGAGTGCAATGGGATTTGCCATTCTTGCAGCACTTTTTAGCAGCTGCATGCCTTCTAAAAATTATTTAGTGTCCTAATGAGACAATTCCTTACCCACGGTAAACAGGCGTTAAGTGCCATTAAGGTCAGTGAAGCTACACTGCTGTCTGCCAGCTCTGGATCGGTCCATGGATGCTTAAAGGAATGCCTGCAGAGAGCAGGTCTTTCCCTGGGAATTAAAAATGGCATTTTTCCAACTGTGCAGAACTGTCACACTGATTTATTTCTCATTTATAGCCTGTGAAACCTGAGGCTGTTAGCTTTCGTTGCTAGAACAACGCAACCGGGTTAGGGAACAGAACTTTTCCGAATTATTAGATACTACATGGTTTTTTTTTCTATGTTAACAACCGGCAGTGCAAAAGAATTGCTGTGATTCTCAGGGGTTGCTCACTACGCCAGTACCCCGCTACAGAAGCTTAGAGGTCTGTTAGCATCAACACAGCTGGCTCTCAATCCTGCTTCACCTGGGGCTGCACTGCTTTCACCTTTTGCTGTTTATTAAAAACACTAAATCAGGAGCATTTCTATTTTTTAAAAGCCAAACACTCGGTGCAGCCCAGCTGTGGATGAAGAGCTAGTGAAAGCAGCAGCCATTCTGACAGTTTTTAGGTGGGCTTGAAGTTTTTCCTTCAAGAAAAAGAGAGGGAAGCGAGAGAAAGCCTTGGAATGAAAAAAAGCAGGGAAAAAAAGCTGGAGGATGAAAGGGGTTTAGGAAGGGAAAAGGAAGATGTAAGAAAAACTGGAGGATAAGAAGGGCAGGGAAGGAGAGAGAGGCAAAGGGGGGAGGGGTAGACAAAAGAGCATGTTATTTGGACTTGATTTTGTCCTGAAAGCCACATCCTATATAACTGCTTTGAAAGAGGCTCTGAATGCAAGACAGGATCGGCTGATAGCACAATGCTAACTCATTTTTTATTGTGCTGTCAGCAGATGCCCTCTCTCTATAGCCCAATTACTCCTAGTTACCTACACATGACTCTGTTTAATACTTTTCATGCCTCACATTGGCTAACAAGCTGCAGTTTAACACAACTCCATATTTCTGAGGCTTCAGGTGAGAAGGAAACGCGACTATGTACAGGAACAGTTAGGTTTATAAACAAGTAACTGGTACCAAAAAAACTGGAGAAAGCACCAAAGCATTTCTCAAGCTGATAGCATATTAATTGCATAACTCCCTTTTACGTAACTAAGTATAAAAGACATTTTAATAACTATAAAAATGAAAGCCAGAGTCTTTCAAGAACCGAGGAATCTTCCAGGCTTGAGTTACAGTTGCAAATGTTCTTAGCACAGACGATGCTTTGATACACTACCACGCTCCCCTAGCAGTTTCTCATCAACCACTTTTAAAGGATGGGGTTGATGTCTGTTCTGTGGCTGGCAAGCTGGGTGAGAGTGGAGCTTCCCACGACGTCGCTGACAGAGGAGGAGGTCGTGATGGTGTTGTGCTGGATGACTTGCTGCTGGGAGCAAGCTGGGACTGGGCTTGCAGGAGGACTGCTCTCGGGACCTGGGAAGGGGGTGAGGGCACAGAGAAACACACATTCATTTTTCCATCTGAATAACAAGCCCAGGCTGGGTGACACTTCTGGAAAAGGGATGCACTACTGTGGCAGCAATACTAACAATCAGAGGCATGCACAAGTCCCAGGATTTCAAAATACATGGTTATCCAACACTCTTTGTCTTCTGATCTTTTGCAGTTTTTGTTACTTTTTTTAAGCCGTCTCCGATATCAACCTGACTTTGGGAGTTGGGACCTTGAAAAAAGTCCAAGATCTTAACAATTATGAAACCAACGTCGGGATAAAAAGTCCGATATCTTAAGATCTATAAAATCAGATGGGATGCTTAAATGCTTTATTCGCTCCGGCAGAAATCAAAATTAGAGTGCACTGCAGCACAGAAAATCTAATTCAAGCAACAGTTGATAGGCATGTAATGCAATTATATATTTTTTTCTTTGAGTACTGTTAAAGAGCCAGATGCATAGTGATGCAGAGGAGACAGAAATGGGCTCTATTTTAAGAGAATGCTGCAATCTAGCAAATACTAACCCTGAGGCTCTTCTGAGCCATTCTAGAGCCAAGCAAAGAATTTGTCCCTGAATTGCCACACTTGTAAAATGCATCAACCAGACAGAATCGACTCAACATCTCCATTAGATAAGAACTTTTGGAGAAAAAAAAAAAAAAAAAAAGATAAAAGTTAAAAAAGAGTTAACAAACCTTGAAAACCTGTGCCACGCCTGGTCTGCACCACTGTCAGAGCACAGTACCATTTTCACTGGAGGCAACTGTAATGTTTTCCTTTTTAACTTTCCTTTTGAGAGTTATTTTAAGGTTCTGGCAGCGCTGTGCCGGAGGACTCTTGCAGGTTTGGAGCTGTGAGTTCAGGCGGGATCCTCCGCCGGGAAGCGAGCGTCCATCCATGTGCACCTCCTTGTGGAAGGGAGGGGTGGGGAAGGCTAGGTCTGCTGTGTGGGGTGTAAACCAGGGCTTTTTTGGTTTTGAGCGGGGCTGGATAAATAAGGGCAGGAAATTGGATGGCTTGGATGATGTTTGAGAAGACAGGTTGAAGTGATAATATGACCAACAAGGGGTTCTGAAGGGAACTTTGCTTTCCTGTGAGGAGTGTGGAGACAGTGCAAACATACCAGCTACTTACTTAGATATCCTTGCGATTCTTTCTGCATAGCTGTTATCGGACAGTCTTTATGTGTTAACAATAACTGTTTCAGCTGTGCTACCTCATTTTTCAGCATGGAAACCTCGTTCTAGAAAAGAAAGAGAGGGTTTGGTTTGCCACAAAGCTTAAACCAGGCTCTTCTGCAAAGTTTAAATCCACAAACACAGAAATGGCTCCACAACTTCGGAAGAACTGAGCAAAAATGGCACTCGGTGCTCATGTGCTGGGTTTATGTAAACATTTGCTGCAACATTATTTTATAACTCCTTCTGAAGGCAATTTGGCTTCCAGATTTGGTGACATAAACTATCAAATTAACTAACTTCAAAGCACCAGAGATACTTGAGGCAATGTTAATCCACTTGGGGAAATACTCTGGCTCTCCACATCAGGACAGGGGGCCCAGACCTGTGGGGGCGAACAGCAGCCTGCTACACTTGGGGGCACAGTGGCAGGGTTGCTGTCACCTACAGCTCCACTACAGCCAGAGTATGGGTGCTGCTCGCATCTCTGTTTTGGCAGAGTGCCATTACACAAATGGTCTTTCTGCTCTTGGCAGCACATGGGCACATCTCTGGATGGGGCAGAAGTACTGTAAGAAAGGCTTTTATTACCATATTCAGGGTATTTTCACCTATCCATTTAATTTTCCTTACTGGTAGACTGATTTATGTATGCTCCTATCTCACTGGCTTTGAATGGGGGTTTAGCTACCTGCCCTGCTCTGAAGAAGCCTTTTGCAGCCGAGTTAATGGCACTTCCAAAAAAAATCCCCGCAAAAAGCAGTGACAAGAAATGAAAATAAATACAACTCCACCTAGTGAAGGCTTCTAAATCCCAAGACACCTTTTTCCTGGCTTATCCCGCTAAAATGCAATTATTTCTTTAATTGAGGCACACAAATCTTGATTAATCTACTTCGATTATGCCTGCGCTGCTGCTAGCAGCTGGCTGTGCAGGGAGAACTCTGAAGGCAGTGAGGGCCTGCCAGCACCACCAGCCCCTCCGAGCACAAAGAGCCCCTCTGTGTCCTCGAGGGTGCAGACAGTGGCTCGCACCTGAAGCTGCATGTTTGTCTGGGTGAGCTCTTCTGCTTTCTTTTCCAGTGACATCACCCAGACCTTCCTCTTCTGTCTGCAGCGCGTGGCGGCAGCTCGGTTCCTTTCCAGAAATTTCCGCCTCCTCTCATCTGGGTCTTCGTCCACCACCCTCCTCCGGCGACCTCCGGTCGGCTGCGGTGGCTGTATCGTCTGCGTGGGCTGCATCTGCTGCGCCGCTGGTGAAACCTGGCGAGGAAGAAGAGGTTTGGCAGGGGGTGGTGAGGGGGGAAAGTTACAGAGAGGGATGCTGAAATGGGAAGGGAAATCTCATACACTCATCCTGCTCCCTGGTGAGGTGTGCAACAGGCACAAGGTGAAAGGCTGCACCAGATGCCACTGAAATTAGCTGCTGGCAAGTCCTTACCATGGTCAAAGGGGAGATTTTTTTGAAACGATCCTCTGAATATTAGTAGGGAAAATATTTTTCCCCTTACAGTTAGTTATTAAAAACATTTGGTTAGGTACTTTCTCTGCCACCACCTATTTCAAACCTGAAATGTCAAGTTTCTCTCAGCAACTCTTAATCAAAGCAGAGGACTGTAGCGGCCTTATTTCTCTCTTTCTCTGGTTTTTTCCAATTGCCTACAAAATTTTAGGACATTTCTATTTCACAGGCTCTTCCATCTCTGTCTCACACTCTACCACCTGAGTGGGGCTGGAAAGCCACGGACTGGGATCACACAAGGCCAGCAGACCCCGGTGCACCTCAGCTGGGGGCCAAAGAAAGGATTTAGGTACCTGAACTTGACCTTGCATTTTGATATAACTGCACTGTGTGGAGAAGGGATATTCCCCTTCTCAAGCTATTGCATTCGACCCCCGGTGGATGCCATACTCTATTCAGCAGCCTGGCTTTGACTACAGAGGCACACTGCATCTAGTCTCACTGCTAAGAAACTGTGGGAAAATATGTATTTATGCTTTTTCAAGTGCAGGAGAGTACTGATCCTGTTCCTGAGAGTAACTGGCCCATGCCATTACAGAAAAGGCATACGGCAGGGGCAGCCCCATGTATTCTGTGCTCAGACTCCTGGGTGGATGAAACACATGCCCATGTCCCTGTCAGGAACGGGCATCAGACTGAAATGTTCAGCTGACTGGGAATACCCAGCTTTTGAACTGGTTTCCTGCCTCTCTGTGGCACCCAGGCCACAGGGCTCTGGATTGTGCTGGGGGCTCCACAGCCCACGGGTCCCATTGCTGGCACCCGGCAGGAGCCGCCAGCGCTGCTCACACGTTGCTGCCAGTGCTCCGGCACAGTCTGGAGCAGTCTGGAAACCTGAATTGTTGACTCAAAATTAACCCTCTTGTTCTGGCAAAGGCCCAAATCTCCAAGGTGCTTCCTTTTGACTCCAGGGAGTGGACGTACTCAGCGCTTTGTCAGACTGAGCCCTGAAATTCAATTGCAGCAATTAACATGTGTTTGCCTAACACCTCTGTCTGTCTCAATTAAAGTGATACTATCATCTTGCAAGGTCACTTTTCTGTCTAGAATCTCACCACAAACTACAAAGAGTTTGCTCCCTCCCCCAGCTGACTTGTGTCAATTAAAGTGGCAATTTTATGTGTAATTATTCTGTGCATCTGATAACACATTTTGCATAAAGACAAATTTATTCCCAGCTTTATGTTGCACAGTCAGGGAATCTTTCTTGCAGGAGCAGAAAAATATTTTTTAAAAAATAGTCTTCTAAAAATAAATAAGCCACCCTGCACATTCTGTCTGATTTTTAAAATACCAGCTTGTATGAAGTCCGTCTGTTTGCTGGTGAAATTTCCAACTCTCTGTCCATAGTGGGGGTTAGAGTTCCAGGGCTACAGCAGCTGCAGAGGGTGCAGCTGCCAGTGCCACGCAGGACCACCAGCCGCTGTCCCTGTCCCCATCCCTGCCAGCATCCCCAGGCTGCTGCTGGGAGATCACTGCTGAGGGATGCCAGCTGCTCCCCATCCACTGAGGCCTGTTTGCTGGTGAAATTTCCAACTCTCTGTCCATAGTGGGGGTTAGAGTTCCAGGGCTACAGCAGCTGCAGAGGGTGCAGCTGCCAGTGCCACGCAGGACCACCAGCCGCTGTCCCTGTCCCCATCCCTGCCAGCATCCCCAGGCTGCTGCTGGGAGATCACTGCTGAGGGATGCCAGCTGCTCCCCATCCACTGAGGCCAGGCACGCTACCTCTTTAGCAACATGGCTTAGTGCAAAGGCCCCAGAGTTCCCTTGTAATGTCAACATCTCATCAAAGGCCTTCCATTTTCTTACATACAACACCTTTCGGGGCTTCAAATATTTGTTATTTATGTTTCTGGACATCAAAAGCTTTCCTTATCCCATTTCTCTCCTTTTTCATCCAGCATTAAAAATTCTTGGTTCTTAACTCTCCCAGTTGGGTCTCCTGCACCAGCAGAAAAAGGTAACTATAGATTTCTTTTTATTCTCTTTACCCTCATATGGTCATTTTCTCCTGAATAACTAGTGAGTCATTTTCTTTTCAGAATATACCAGTCAGCCTTTGGGCAGTCAGAGCACATTTTCAGAACAACAAAATCATCTCTATCTATGGCAGATATTAATTATAAAGGTTGCGATTACGTCACTAATAATGTCACGTGGGATAATTAACTGAATCTTACTAGACAGCTCTTAACCCTAAATTCTGTTAGGCTATATTTTAGTATCTGTCGAAGCATCATTCTCTAGCAGGATTTCACTGGCCTGCCTAGGACATACGTGCTCTGTTAACAAAGAAAATTAACACATATTAAACTCGAGGTTATTTTTTTTTTTAGAGGATGCTATTCACATCTCCATAATGAAGACAAACATAGGACAGCTAACAGACTGAGACAACATCCAAACCCCTACTCTGCTTAAGTTATCACTCTGGCAAGTTTGATATGAAGAAACCTTTATGGGACCAACACAAGAATAATAGTATTTTTGTAGTAGTTGAGGCAACACAGCTACAACTAGATAAAATATTTCTCTTTGTCTGAAATATACCTATCAGAATGTGATTTCTGCTTTTATCCTTGATCCAATACTTCTCTCTGTTCTTTGCAACTTACCACAAAACTAATACCCATGTTACAAAAGCATAATTCATTGGGCTCCTGTGTATCAAAATGGTAGCTGAAAAGCATGAAATGAATTCTGATGCTACAGAGGGGTGTGGTGTAGACTAACAAGAGTTTTGTCATGGCTCACAGTGGCGTGGACCATGCTGGCATTTGGCAGATGGCTTGTAACAAAAGCTCAGAAGAATAAGGAGGTTAATAATTAGTAAAATGCACCATAAAAATAATGTCTGCTGGAGCAATCTGACGCCTAAAGAGGCTCTTACCATGGGGACTATGGATGCGCTTAGAAAGTATTAACCATGTGGTATTACTCAGCAAACCCTTATTTTCTCCCCACTAATGCATCTGTTCAGAAATCACCATTGCCTCTGCACCATGGGAGCTGATGAGAAGCAAAAGCTCCTCTGCCTGGGGCAGCCACTGACCCTAGGAGTCCTGCTCAGCCTCACCAGCCATCACCTTCTGTTCCCATCTGCTCGGTGACACTCACACCTATGGACAAGGTGAAAACCTCATTGATCCCTGATGGGGCCTGTTGCCTCCAGTGACATGTTGTAACATGGCAAAGCTCATCTGGCTGCAGGCCCGGCTCGAGACTGGAGTGAATCCGACAGAGCTTGGTGGCTGCCAGTCAGCCCACCTACCCTGGTGCCCATATCTGTTCTTGCCTGCCTGTGAGTCTTTCAGGGTGCTGAGCTAACAGGGAATGCAAAACACAGGGAGTCGAGGCTGTCCTAACTGGAATGACTCAAAGTTGCCGTCAGCAGCACGTAAGTTAAGAGGAAGAGGTGGCTGTAGCACACTGGCTCATTGGCTGACATCTTATCCTTACACCTGGGAGGTTTATTTTCTCTTATAGCTGTTTTCTCCTCACCTGTTAAAAGTTTTAATGTGGGTGTTTCGCAGCGGTGCTCCATATTGCGGCATCGGACTCCCTCATCTGCATTAACATGTTTATCCTCCCTGCCCCTTGGTGAGGCGTCAGTACTATTGCCCTTGTTGTAAAAGCCTCAGAGAGGTTAAGTGACTTCCTCCATCTCATCCATGGAGTCCTCAGTCTGCTAAGAACAACTTCCTCCTTACTTTCTCATGGATCTCCAAGACAGCCATCAGGTTGCTTTTGTTTTCTCTGTTATGAGATAATGTCTTTTTATTGGAGTTTTTAAACAACTCCAAGGAAAATAACTCATTAACAGATGGGAAAATAATTGAATTCACAAAATAAAAACTGAACTAAACTTAGGAAAGCTCTGGACATCTTCTCACAGGGGAGTCTCCTGCTCTCTTATTTAGACTTTCTCTAAAGCTGACAATTCATTTTTACATTAGCAAATGCTTTAGGGAAATCCCATGTGCTTGCAGCCTCTGCAATAATAAAGCTAGATGTTAGTAAATAGTTAATGTTGAGGGACACTGGGATGTCAGCCAAAAGCTCTCATTTTCTTTAATGTTTTCTGAGAGCTTGTCTGAAAGGTATTTGCAAGCAACACAGTACTTCACAGATTGAACTTCTTATGGCTGGCACTCGTCTTTGTCCTTATTCTATGCATTGCTGCTTGTCTTCCTTAAATTTGCTCCCCTGACCTGACAAGTTACAGTCACTGCCCCCAGAGCTTTATTTTTCCGGTGCAATCCTGATGCAGAAGCCTATCATCTTAAGACATTAATATAATTAATCTTAAAAATGACTCTGCTAAAGTCTGTGCTCGCTAGTTCATGAGTTCAAGAAACATTCCCTTCAGATATTGAATTATCCAGATTGCTGAAGCCAATACACCTGGTCCAAAAATTGAGACCTTCATCTAATTCAGTGGAGACCTTCACTGAGTTCGGATCACCTGAATCCAATTGAAAATTGCCTTCCTGGTTTAAATCTCTCTCCTTGGACTGGCTTCACCATCTTTTTCTCCTGACACAACATCCACCAACTTTTGCCTGCACTCTCAGTTAATTTTGGCTTTCTGGGGGGTGCTATCTCTTTCACAGCATCTGGATCCTTTTTTTCCTTTTGCTCTAAGCGAGTGTATCTTACCTTAAAACTACCTCTACTATCTCCAGTCTTGACAGGAAATTAATAGCTCATAAAGTTCAGTGAGGTTATTTATTTACACACATACTTCTTGCTCTGGTAACGCACATGAAGTGCCACTTTACTTCAGTACAGATTGTGCTATGTATTTCTATAGGTAGAACACATACAGATCTTTAAATCTTGGCCTGAGTAGTTTTGGATCAAGCACAATAAGCAACATATATAATATGTTAATCTCCATAATAACCCTCATCCATAAAAGGACATGTGGCAATTTGCAGAGCTCAGAGTACTGAAAAACATTGGAGCTCCTTATAAAGTCAGATATTACAAATGTCTAGCAAATTAAGTAACAAAACAAGTTGTTGCTTCACTCCCTTTTCTGAATAAAATTTGTGCTTCTCCACTACCGGTAGCAGACATTTATGAGTAGCCCAAGGAGCTTGTATCTAACAAGACGTGTGCAAGAAGAAACAATACCAGGGTCAGGCTTTAACTCCACATAACAGCAAAACTCAGCGATGCATCATGAAGGTCTACCTGTGCTTGTCCGCCTGAGTGGAGCGGGGGGTGCGGCGAGGTCTGGTGATGTGCCGGGTGTCCGTGAAGGTGTGAGTGGGAGTGGTGGTGGGGATGATTCTGCTGGTGATGAGGCTGAGGATGAGGATGGTGCGCTGGATGCTGGTGCTGATGCGGGTATGAGTGATGAGGTGGCAGTGTCTGGTGCTGATGAGGATGTGAGTGCATATGATGGTGTGGCGTCTGGTCCTGCCGCGAGCTCATCATTTCCATCATGTGGCCCATGGTGTTCATATTCCCGTTTGACATGGCGGCAGGATGATGAGTCAGTGCTGCCTTCAGTCTCTGGAACAGAACAAGGCAGAAAATTCAACATGCATACATGATGATCTCAGCAATCAGAACAAGATTTCTGCTGTGGTAGAAATGATGCCTTGTCCTGTGTTTTGAGATTTATTTAGGTTTTTTCTTGCTGTTCCCTTGATAAAAGGCATCTTATTTCAGTTTAAGAAGGAACATATTCTTGGGCTCTAATCTAGTTTTCTACTGTAAATATGTAAAGATATAAACAGCTGAACTGAAATGTAACAGTTACACATTTCGTGCTGTGCTGCTCAGGAAAAATAACCAGCTCTCATCCTTTTCTGTTTGGCCAGCTCAGTAGTATTAGCTTCATCAAGCTTTTGTTCTTGCAACTTTCAAAAGGAAGGTCTGACTAAAAGATGAAACAAACTTTTCCTCTTGTTTTCACTACAGATATTATTTAAAAGATTCATTGATAAATAAATTGCATTTACGTGTTTTTCAAATTCAGGCTCAAAAAGTACTAGCACACAACCTGTTTGTTCATCAGAAAGATGGGAAAATGATGAGAGTGATCTCAAAGTGATCCTCTTTCTTTGCTGGAAACTTCAAATGTCTGCTGTGGTGTTCTTACAGGCTAATCTGTCCCTCTGTTTTGTACTCTTCATGTTTTGTACTGTCACTGGATTGGGCCCTGGTGTCCTGTCTGTGGCAAAACTCTCCTTAATATCAATGGGATCTGTTCACTTTTACCTGAACACCACCAAAGGGCAATGGGAAGGGCTGCTACATTTTGGTCTGCAGAATAGGGCCCTTGCGTACTAAAGCTATAGCTGAAATACAGAGAAAAAAAGGTTCCTTTTCAGTGCAATTACAGGGTCACACCAAAGCTGTGAGCTGTACTGGCATACAGACACCTCGCTGGTATCATCCTACCTTGGACTACTAAAATCAATCACCAGCATCCTGTGCCAAAGGTAGAGCCTGACAGATGTCAGCTAGGAGAAGGGCTCCTTCAAAACCCACAGAAACATCCTTTGCAACCATGGTTCTGCATCTTGCTCAACATACAACATTCTTACAGGTAGACACCTGAGACCCCTTTACCTCTTTATATTTATGAAGAAGTAAGTGTAAACTTGGTTTACTCTCACTAATGCAAGTAATTAGCAGAAAATGGTAAGATAAAAATGAAAGGAAGGAGGTCCATGGTACCACTTGATGCCAGACTAGAATGATCTGAATAACCCATCAACTAGCTTATAATTCATTGTCCAGCCAGAGGATATAAGGAACAGCAGACAATAGCTCATCAGTGAAGGATGCTGCCTATAGGACAGCCAGCAAGAAACAGCAGTGGTACAAGGAACAGAGGTGTGCCTTTCCCCATAGCAATATCTGTGGGTCACAGATGATGGTCAGAAGATCCTACAAGCCAACGTGGATAAAATCTGCCAGTGGAGGAGCAGTGACCAGACTGACCTGCATTTTGGTTTTGTCTTTAAAGCAAAGAGAGTGACTGCCAGGACACTCAGAGCCTATAGATGGGAATTTCAGTCTACTTTATATCGAAATAACGTCTGTCTGTGCAACTCCACTGCAAGGGCACAGGTAAAGGTTCCTGTTTTCAAAGCTGCTAGTCTAGTGTGTGTGCATCTGGGAGTGAAGAACAAACAAATTCTTAAGGAGAAAAAAAAGAAAAAATATTAAAGAAAAAAAAAAGAGGGTTGTGGAAGGCAAAAAGAAGTAACAGGGACAATTCAAAGGATCATCCTCAAATTTTTGTGTACCACGTTTTTGCAGACTTCATGAAGGTCATTCCACTGAGACACGTTAATAGATCCATTGATCCAAATTTGGTGGCTTATTTCACTAATGATCAATTGTCTGAACAAGACTTTATTAAAAAAAAAAAAAGATACATTTGCAAAACACATCAGTCTGCATGAAGGAAAACCATACTGGTGACTTTTAAGAAATTTCCTTAAGAAAGCCTGTCAAACCATGACTGCGCTACAGCATGTGTCACAACCTGACTATCTTAAAAAGAGATTAAGGCAAATATGGCAGCAAGGTTAAATACCTCCTTCCCTACCTCTAAAGTCAGAAGGGAGCTCAATCTAACACCAATAGCAGTAACTCATCCTGGGAATAATATGGAGGATTTGAGCAGCTGTTATCCTTAACATTTCCAAATTAAGCGCTACCCTGGTTACTACAAGCAGCTCTTCACAATGCTCAGAATAACCGGTGTTACCCAGGAGTGTATTAGGAAAAATATGGAAAACAACACATGAATAAGTCAAGTCATTCTGCACGTCATTCTTCTTCAAAACTCGCTATGACCTTTTTCATGGGGCTGAGCCACCACACAGATTTAAGTTAAAGCACCAACAAAAGCTGTCACACTTTTGTCCGAATCAAAATGCAAAAAAACCAAGCTCGCATTAGCCAGCAGTTTTACAAGCGATGAATACCTAACAAAATCTACCAATGCTATATTTGTCAAAGAGCTCTGAAACTGAACTACAGCATGTCTTATTCTAAACTGCAGACTTTCAAAGCGGGGAAAAAAAAAAAAAAAAAAGAGAGGGAAAAACTTAATCTGTGAATAAACATTTTTTTTTTTCAGCTGTAAAAACTGTGGCTTATTAGCGTGGCGCGACTTCAAGGAGAATAAATTATTTTGTTTTCTTTCCATAGCCCCTTCTACCACATCCATTTATTTGAGATAGCAAATCAAGAGAGACAGTGAGAGGTCTGACATGCAGCTGGTTTCAGTCAATAGGGGTCATTTTCATTTCGTCTGTGTATTTTACAAGTTCCTTCTTCACTGTTCCCAATGGGCGGGTGGGCCAGCTGCCCTGGATCCCAGTCCTGGTAAGAAACCAGCTCTCTACCTCACCCTGTCCCAGTGCAGCAACAACCATCGCCCAGCCCTCGCCTCCCTTTAACTTCGTGCTTGGATCAGCTCCGCAGCAGTGAGAGCCCTGCCTGCACACGCACCCGCAGCAACATTTATCTTTAATTAACCAGTCGCTGCTACCCATAAGAAACATTTGAGGAACGATAAAAAGATTCTTTTTCATTTGGTCTTCAGCAAGATGAATTGTTTTAGATGTTTTTGTAAGAGCAAAGGGAGGGAAATCAGCTGAACTTGGTGAACTCTTTGCATTGAGTATGTGTAGAGCTGGAAGGGCAGGCTGCATTTTTATTATTGTTCTTTTTATGTGTGCTAATTGCAAACAGCTGTTTTAGTTTAGTGTCAAATAAAATGCGATGGAATCAAAATTGAGCTTACTGGACTGACTACATTAGCAAATCCCACCTAGAATGAAATGATAACCCAGGACCTGATCCTGCGGCCATTCAGGTTTTCAGGAACTGAGTGACTGACTTCACCAGAGCCTGCGGGTACCTGGCAGTTTGCAAAATGGGGCTGAAACAGAGGAGTCACTGCTCGGACCTGTTCTCACCAAAACCTGAAATTTCTGCTAACCTCAGCAGCGGTGGGTTTTAGGGTACAATCCCTCTTCTCTTCCTTTTATAGTCCAATTTTTAAAAAAAATTCCCACCATCCTCAAGCCAAGAAGAAATGTAGGTGCTCATCTTACCTGGCTTTTGGACTTTACTGATTATTTTTATTATTTCATTGTAGTAATATTGTGACCAATATCAGTTACATCTGATTTCCACTCATCATGACATTGCTGTTAATGGCTGTCACTGACACAGACATGAGAAATAATTTCACAGAGAAGATCCTGCTTTGCCACTGATTGAGTGAATCAAGAAAACTCCCTTTTGATCCTACGGGAAACCAGAAGCACATAAACTCTCATCTTTGATACTTAGGAGGAAATAGAAACAGTGGATATTAGTGCTCCACAGGTATGAGTGTTGTATTCCCTTTATATTGCTCATGGTAATGCCCCTAGCTGAGACATTTACTCTGAAGCCTCCCCACTGAATGTCAAATGAAATTAACACCTCAAAGAAGTTGTCATTGTACCTGGAATATTGGGTTTTTTTGAAACAGACAGTTTCACAGTTTTCCTTCATCTAAAGCCTGACATTGTGGTGCAGTGAATTGCTTCATGTTTCTTTATATCAGCATAGACCATAATTTATTCACTGAACATCTCCGGGCAAATCCTAAGTCTGCCAAAAATGGCCTAGAAGCATTTGAGATCATGAATGAAAAATAATATCAGCTTTCCTAACGGTTCTGCATTTCGAATCCTGGTGCTTTCTAATTTTTCTCTATCATGACATGTATTTCAAGGTTGCCTTGGGTTTTGCCCCACCTTTCTTTGTCCAAAATTGCTCGTGAAAAAGACTGCATTTTTTTCAGTTTGTTAGCAGAAAAAAAAAAAAAACCAAAAAACAAACTGTAAATTTGGAGGTTGCTTTTCCCACAACTGAAAACTCAAATAATTTGGGGGTTTTCATATGTATATAAATATTTATAATATTTATAGCATGTTATATTTATAGTACACCAGGCTATAAATGTTATATTATATGCTATAATCTGCATATGACAATAAACTACAACTTTCTTCCATTTATTTCTCGGTGGAGAAATTACAAAAATCTCCTCCAGTTTTACAGATGTTATTACCTGAGTGGTTTATGCTTGCATCAAACAATAAGCTATTACATCATCCAACTGAATTTTAGGTTGGGACAGACACAGAGTCCTGGTTTTGAATAGGATTGTTCTGAATAAGTATGCATTGCTACACTCAGGAAAAAACTCTCTTCCCCTTCGGGTCTGCACATCCAAATCCCACTAAATTAAAGACGAGACAAGGCCAGCTGTAGTACCAGCTTAATGTCTGGTATATTCTTATCAGGAGATTATATCAGGCCCCTGCAGGCAGATGGAATATGATCTGAAAGATATTTTCTTGCACTAGTGACTGTGATTCTAGTTGCTATTATACAGAGGTGTAATAAGCTCCCTGCAGGGGATCGAATAGACTACAGAGGGTGGGAAATCAGAAGAAAATACAGACATTAAGCATCCCCACACATCT